CACCACCCCATATAGCAAAAACCTCTAAAAAAAAAATTGGGGGGGGGGGTGAGGCTGGTGGATGGCATAGTGGTTGGAGTGTTGGATTCCTACATGGCCAACTGTGGTTCGAGTCCCAGACCTGGCAGCTTGTTTTCTCACTTTCCCTTTTTCTCTCTCTGTCTTTCTCTGGTCAAATTAAATATAATAACAATAATAACAAATAAAGTAAGTAAGTCTTTAAAAAAATTTTTTTTAATTGCCAGAAGGCTTATGCACCCACCAAAGACAGAAGGATAGAGGGAGGAGGGAGAGTGCACTCCCAGAATGGGGCATAGTGATGCCTTTCTTCTCCATTTCTCCATCCTGTCAGGATTCAGGACATACCTGCCAGGAGTGTTTATCTTCCTTTTTCTTTCTTTCTTTCTTTTTTTAAGAAGTATTTATTTAATTTTATTATCATTATTTTTTAAATCTGCTATAGGGCATGTGTGCTCACCAGAGAGAGAGAAAACGAGGAATCAAGGTCCAGGACTCAAACCATGGTCAGCCATGAAGGAGTACAATACCTTAACCATCATGCCACCTGCTGGCCCCACTAGGAGTGTTTTTCAAGCCACCATAGCTGGGATTCCAATCCCACAATCGGTCATGTGGGATCTGGCTCCCTTAACCACTAGACCATGGCCTAAGAATGAGAATGTTTACCTTACAAATCTTTTTGAAGTATTATTGAAAATGGGAAATGACTCTACAAAAGATATTATGCTTATCACTAGATCTAATATTCTCAATTTCTAGTTGAGTCGTGATCTAATAGCTTATTGTTGAGACCGTGGGTTCCCATTAGAGAGGTTTATATATATACACAGTAGCAGCAGTTCAATGTTTCTGATTCCTTTGACAAGTCAGCTCATTCCCATCCCATCAGCTTTACTGTCCCTGACTATTTCCTTGTTGGTCATTATGCATACCTTGGTGCCTTCTTTCCCATGATCCTACTAATATATATCTTACCTCTCAAAGAAAGAGCTGTTGCCTATGTACTTGCTTCTTTGATTGCCTGAAGCAGTGACTGTTAAAAATATGGTTGACCACAGTTCGAGTCCTGGACCTGGTGACTTTGTGACTTTCTCTCTCTCTCTCCCCCCTCCCCCCATCTCTCTTTGGTAACCATGCATGCCCTATAGCAAAATTTTAAATAATAATAAATAAAATTAAATAAATTATATATATATAACAAATAGCCTAAATTACAGCTAAAGGTGAGATACGCACCCCAGTATCTGAGTTCCAGCTTAGTAGTAGAAACACCAATATCACAGCTAGATGAGAACTTCATAGTAATCTCTTAGTGCAACTCTCCCACTCCCCTTTCTTATTTTATAGACTAAGAAAACCAAGGCCAGACAGATGAAATGACAAAACTATTAATAGGATTGGTAGTTTTTTTTTTTAACTTTGAAAATATTTCAGGTGCATTTAAAACAATTTCACTCTGGCAATATCATATCTGGAAAATGGGACCAGCAGTTAGCGTAATGGCTATGCTGCTGAACTCTCATGTAGTCGACTGTGGTTCAAGTCCCGGACCTGGTGGCTTAAACTCATGCCGGGCACGTGTGCGTGCATGCCCAAGATCCCGAGAGGAGAATGGAGGAGAAGGGATTGCAGCGTGGCCATCCCCTCTGGGGGGGGTGATTTCTCGCTTTCTGTCTCTCTGTCTCTTTCTGTCTTCCTGGCGAGCACATGTGCCCTATAGCAAAAACCTCTCAAAAAAAAAAAAATCTGGAAAGTACAATATTTCAATTTCATACATTTTAGTTTGCATAGCAAAATCCTAAAATGCAGTCACTCATAAAGCTATTATAAAACTTCTTTTAAAGTTTAACTTTATTTATTTATTTTAATTTGACACGAGAGGGACAGAGAGAGAGAGAAAGTGAGAAAGCAAGCTGCCAGGTCCAGGACTCAAACCATGGTCAGCCATGTGGGAGTCCAGCTCCCTTAACCACCATGCTGGACCCCATGCTATTATAAAACCTTAAAGCCAATAATTAGCTGGAAGCCCTTTCTTCAAGTTGCCATTTCTTGTCCTTTTCAAGCATGTCCCAGGTAGAAACCGGCCCACATCTTCAAGTATATAACCTAATGCTCTGTACAAAGCCCACCCTGTTACTAGTTCATCTCTGAGCTTAGTTTTTCTACTCGGGAGGTACAGTGCCTATCTCCAGATCTGGAGTGGGGGTGGGGGCGTCACGTGAGATAAGGCACTCTTAGCCCCCGCCTAGCGTGTATAAGTTTGTTATGATTTAGGCATAATTCCTTCCTCTCCTAAGCAGATAGCAGTTCACCTTGGTTAATGACCTTAAACCTTAGACCACTGGCCGCTTATAAACCGAGGAGAAACCCAGCTGCGCCAGGCCTAGAAATGTCTGTCTCCACCCCCATCCCCCTCAAGACAGTGACTAGGCCAGAATTCTCCTGGTTGATAAATGAGAGGAGCTGAGAGACTGCTGTGCTTTGACTGTTCCGAGAATCTGATTTGTGACAAGGCCAATCTCCACACGACCATGGAGATGCTCTGGGAAAGAGAGCCAGCCTACCTACCCGAAGGAGGGCAACAGAGAGGGGGCACGGAGGAGAGAAATGCTTGAAGGAGATGGACCGGAGGTGCCCAAAGAGGAAGATTTGAAAAGGAAAAACAGAGGCCGAATCCCGGTGAGTGATATTAGAGAGAGGATTGCATGTTTCAACAACATGGAATTTGGACAACAAGCAAAATAAGGACAAAGGTAGAGTGTCCAGACTGCGGAGAGCGAGCCCGCAGGCTGGCGGGGTCAGGGGGGCACCTGGCGGCCAAGAGGTGACCCGGGCTGACAAGGACCGGAAGGCAGGGTTGTGGGGGTACACCCACACGGAAGGTGCTGCGAGGTGGGGGTCGGGAGCCAGCCACAATGCCGCGGCAGCACTCGCCTCGGGGGAGGGCA